GTTGACTGGTTAAAAAATCATTGTCCTGATTTATCTGGGTGTAACAACTTTCCTGTACCTGAATATCGTTACAGAACAGTTTCATAGAGTGCAATGTTTAGACTACCGATATTTTTCCTTCCACACTATGATATTTCGACTTTGGTTTTCTCTTGCACTTGACAATATGTTGGACTTGTAATAGCCTTGCCTTTTATGACATCATACACTGTTCAACTGTTAAACACTATCCTCGGAACTCCAACGAGAAACATCAATTACAGACGCACAGCGCACTGACGTGATTGAGGGAACCACACCATCCGAGACCCAATGCAACCACAATATCGTGTCATCTTCATCATTATCATACACATTAGCTGCGGGTGGAAAACACCTCAGCTATTCTGCCACAATGCAAAAGAAAAGAAGAAAAAAGTATGATACTGAGGCACGCCGGCTGACTCAACAGTAACGGAGGGAGGTCGTTCCGGAGAGCTAACAGCCGGCTGTTGTGCCGCAAAGCTATATTAGGCCTAAAATTGAGAATGTGGTAGGGGACGGAGGCTCAGCGGGAGGAGTAGAGATAAAGAAACTCAACGCAAATGCCATTGTGGTCGACTCCTTGCCATGTCAACAGGTCTATCCAGCAAAACGTGTTCATCGTCCTTCTGTCCCCAACCACGGAGCCGAGACACTCCAACCGAGGCCAACTTCGAAGTTAGGGCGTTCATTCCTCTTGACAAAGTCATCGCTTGGCCGCCTCTCCTTTTCCTTTATCCGCACCCCCAGCGCGCAAACAACGCACGCCGCGGGAGTCGCTGGGCTGGCATGCGCAACATGTGGCCCAGACGTCGAAGCCTGGTGCACGAAATAACGGTGCTGAACGGTTCGCTTTTTCTTCCTGCGCAATAAAGAAGGCGCCGTACACGCGTATTGCTCGCACGGCGTTCCCACCAGATATGGGCCAAATTGCGAAGGCACCAGTGGTCGAACGTAACTAGCAAGCCTATGTCCGCTGATCTAATAAGCCAGATTTCACAATAGTACAGTAGGGTCGAACGTATGACTGCATTGTACACTCTGCCTTTTGGAGAGAGGGTGATGTCCTGCCTACGCCATAGGTGGTGAAGGTTAGCTAAAGCGCGGGCGCTTTTGCCATTCGATTTATGACTTCACCTTCAATTCCAACGTCGGTGATACAACTACCTAGGTAGTTGAATTTCTGAACGATTTCTAGCTGATCCCTACCAAGGGCCAGCGCAGGAGGCGGTCCATGCCAATCTTGGAGGAGCGATTTGCACTTGGATGGTGCAAAGCAAATTCCGAAACGGGTGATAGCCAGTGCTAATCTGTCCAGTGCCGCTTGGCACCTTTGGGAGTTGTCACAAATGAGGGCATTATCGTCAACATACTTCAAGTCAAGAAGTCCTTCACCTGGGAGTAGCTGAACACCTAAGTCGTGTACTGTTAATGCAATCTCCATGACTTCGTCAATAGCGAAGTTGGAGAGGCATCCTTGCCTCACACTGCTGGAGATGTTAAAGGGCGACGACAGCTTGCCATAAGCCCTCACTCTGTCCGTGCTACGCGCGTATAAAGCTCGTATAATATTTACATATTTCTCGGGTACACCTTTCCTGAGTAGACGGTTCCAAAGGGCGCATCGATCCACCGTATCGAAGGCACTTTTGATGTCGAGGAACACGACAACGGTAGGCCGCCAACGTGTGTGACGATGCTCCAACAACTGACGCAAGGTAAAGATGTGGTCGATGCAGCCACGACATTGACGAAACCCGGCTTGCTCCTCAAGAATCTGGCTTTCACGAGCGTCAGTCAGTCTGTGAAGGATTATGGAGGCAACTAATTTGGAAGCGATGGGGATCAGACTGATTCCTCTGTGGTTGCCGCATACGGAACGCGAGCCTCCCTTGAAAATTGGAACTATGACGGAGCGGCTCTAGTCGGTTGGGACAGTTTACTGCTGCCACAATATCACTAGTAATTCGTGTAAGCAACAAGAGCAGGGCCGCCGAATTTGTAGAGGGCTGGATGGAGATCATCTGGTCCCGCGGCTTTATTCAACTTCAACAATCCGACCTCACATTCGACTTCTAAGCGAGTGGGTGGATCCAAAGTGATAACCCAGGGAGCAGGGCCATCACTGGTCGGTGCGAAAACTAACAATTCCGGCCGATTAGGTTGCCGTTCAAAATGCTCAGCCCACACTCCAAACCTTTTGATAAGTTATGAACAGGCTGTCCACTCTCGTCACTTATATTTTCACTTACCCTCGGTCTTCTGCTGCCCGTTTCCCGTTTCAGACGAAACAACTTCCAATGGTTTCCGATGGCAGTGACCAGTTGCATTTTTGTTGCGCATTGAGACCAGCAGGATTCGCGGTCTGTCTTCCTGATGTCTTTGCGATACTTCTTGTGTTGGCAAGCATCGACAAGTTCCAAAGACTGCGAATTGACCCAGTGTCTATTTTGTGATGAACATGCGACCATTGGCCTTCTACCGTATTAAGTAAGCGCTTGCTCAACCCGAACGCCAGCGTAGAATATCGATTCAGAAGAAGAAGTGTTCAGACCAGTAGCCATTGAGAACCGATTGCAACCATATCGAGATTCGGCGTTGCTTTGTTCATCGGCAAGCCACCAAAAATAATGAGATGCCGGTCTCCCCCTATCCATACGTACCTTGTCGAGCGTTTCTGACTTCCAGGAAAATACCCTTTATGTACACTAACTCTGAGGTCTTACTTTGCAACCGTTCCGAACTACGACTCCGTCATCGGTCAAATGTTTGTGAACTTGTCTTTATAACGGATATATGGTTATGCCGTTACGTATCGGTTGCGGTGCCGGACATGTCCGTTGTTCGTCTTGACCGACCAAATGAAGGGAGTGGAGTGGATCTGTATCACATCAGTGACCTCCAATGTAAAGCCATATATTATTCGGTCACCACGGCGCAGAAGTCCTTTTAGTGTCGTCTACGCTTAAGAGGTCACGATGCCTGGTTTCCAGTGCCACTGTTTTTCATTCATCCTCTTGTCTCTACCCACTGACGGTTCACCTATTTCTTTGCAGTTAATTGCTTACTTTCACTTATTTATTCTGCTTTATATTTATTTTTTGTTACCACGGAAGTAAAGATTTTATCAGCATCTTTCGACGCTCCTCAGCACTCATATCTTGGTTTAGTACGGACATAAAGTGTAACAATTGCGAACAATTCACTGCTGTTGCTTTGATGATCCATAGTGTAGTGATTCATGCATCTGGTCTGAACTCTACGTGCGTCTGCTTTGGGTCCTTTTTCGCATGTGTCCGGACGTACTTGCAGTGTATTCACCTGCTTGCAAGCTCTCGCAGTTGCGACGCATTCATTATATCTCTCATGTGGAACTGTCACTGTTCACACATGTGCTATTGATGACCGGGTTGTAGCTCGGTTGTGTTCACTGGCTCAAAATTATAGTGTCGGCGTATCGAATGAACAGCGATAGGATCTCGACATGTGGCGGAAGGCTGCTATTTTTAGGTCGCGCTTACTGACCAACCTTCGATAATATCACTTACACCGACAGCCTTAATTTCAATGGAGCATCTCCTTCATTCGAATCTTTTCCTTTTCGGTAGGTCATCAGGTCTCTTTACCATTTTCGCTTGGCACTGTAGCACGTTCTTGATAGTGTACATTACAGAAAACGCACATTTAGCCTGCATTCTATTTAACAGGTACCCAGGACTTCACATCTTATGCAACTGTTGCTGCTTTTCTCTTGCTTAATTACTCGAGTAAAGCATCTACACTCCTGTGTATGTATCTTTATGTATATCGTTCCACATGTCAGATGAGCATGTGCCGAGCATATGCACATCGCGTGTATGATGAATCCATCCCTGGGCGACGCCATGCGCACGATTGACCTAAGAGCCCACATGAGCTCGTTCGTATGTCTTCCTGTTATTTCACGTTGTCTTCATGTGAACATGCGATTTCCAACCTGACTATCGTATATTTGTATCGTTTCTCATTGCTCAGATCTATCCGTACTCGTTCCATATTTGACTCCATGTGGTCAGAAGTCCTCATTCACCAACCATATCACTAGCCCATGGGTAACCCGGATGTGGTTGTCCCGATTTTCACGCCGTTTCTGAGTCCCTCAACGTATTTTCGTACTCATAATGTGCACCTGGTAATCAATATGACCTTACGCTCGTTTACTCCTACATTTTGCTGAACAAGAACATCGCTGCTTTCATTTAATTTCCCTTGTTCTACGAATTGCCTCTCTCCTACAAGTGGAACTCCAATGCCACATCACATCTTTATGGTCGAGGCTACATAGAAAGTAGCCGTATACCCACACCAACTGTCGTACTGATTTTGGCTATTTCCCGAATGGGAGAGACCCAACCACGTCTAGTGCTTCGCTGCGTACTTTCTAAGCTGAACTCTCTTGTGTTTGTGCCGTAATGAACATAGACGCTCCGCAGTTCACTCGTGTATATTGGGGCACAGAAGCACTCTACGATAAACAAGTAAACAACCCGTATTCTTGATTTTCACGTGGCGCACCTGAATTGGCGTTATCATTATCTGTCCCTCTCCTTCTTCTCTCTGTCTGGCTGTTTTTTACGACCTGGATGTGCAAGTGCTGCAATGCTGTTTCACCATTTCCAGTGTTGACATTTGAACGCACCATCGCATGCACTTTGTGGCATTGCGCTGAATGGACAGGTGGGCACCACCTACAAGGTAGTTGTTTTCCCGTAAGCAATATCGTGCTTCGACAGTCGTCGGATATTTTGCTTATGTATAAACACTTTCAACCCTCTTATTCTCCGTTTTCATTCCCATTTCCTGGATATTCTTCACTTTGTTGCAGTTGAAATCCTTCACATCTTTCCCCTACATATTTTATGCCAAATACACGTATCGGCTGTGCAGCAGATGTCTAAACATTTTCGTTTTTTCTATGGCTTTTATCGTTTTTTTCATAGATACTTCGTTTAGAAGGTCAACTTAAGCGTTACAAAGCCTTTGCGGATTCGTGTTCACAGCAAGAAGCTGAGCTTAGACAAGAGCGCCGCAAATACCAGCTCGAGGTACGTTGCGTTTGTTTGCACGTTAAACATTCCTTAGGCCCATTTAGTACAACTGTTTTGACCCTGTATTTTTGTAAATGTGGAACCAACTGCATGACACACGATATTCTCATAAACTGTTATTTGAATGCGGCGAATGATAAACACGCAAAGCTGCCACTTGAAGAGGTGTTTATAATAAAACATTGAGGCTGTGGTGATAGACATAATACCAAATACAAGGGATACACTGACTTCGTTGCTGATTACATCCTGTAAGGTTCATAACTGACAGCTGGGCAAGAAAGCTGATTCCCAACGCGCACTTGTTCGCCACATCTCGTGCTTGAGACAGACACTGCGAGTGTGTTTCTAGCGCCCAGCCGAAAGGTGATGAAATGGCGCATCAGACAGCATGCGTGTTGCCCAAATCTGACCGGAAGCTGATCAAATCGCACATCAGACATCACGTACGTTGCCATGCCCCGGGTAGGCGGATGAAGGCTATGGTGCCCGAGCAAGACGATGAACTGACCAGACAGAGCGGACAATCAAGTGTGGAGCGTGGGCCTACAGACAAGTCCGCCAGGCGATGTCTAGATGATTGGTGAGATCGACATATGAATATGAACGTTCTCGGTCCTAATACAACTCTGGTCGGCTGAGTCTTCTTCTGTCTTCCTTCCTGTCGGGTTTGTCAAGGCGTCATGCAGAGCAGGCGTAGGGGCGCAGATTTACCGGCAGGCGTGAATCAACCCGTCGATTGCGTGTACCGCGTTATAACAGTGGAGACGCGAGTTCAATCGAAACCAGAAATGGCAATCAGCTTTGAACAATTACAGATGCTTTTGCAGCAACGACAGGCGCAGTTTGAAGCATCCCATACCAAGCTGATAAAGATGCTAACTCAGAAGCTGACAGTGCTGTCAAGCCCAGGGTTAGGGACAAGTGAAAGTGCTCCCTCACCAGAAACCCTGACTCAGCAGATCAGTGAGTTACATTATGACGCTGATGCCGGCATAACATTTGTTTCTTGGTTTCACAATTATGAAGACATGTTCCGGGTTGATTTTGCCAACCTTTTAGCGGAAAAGAAGATACAGTATATGCTGTGGAAGCTGGGTGCTGCCGAACACGAGAAGTTCACCAATTTTATCCTACCTAAAGAGTACCGGCTGAGTATTCTTCTGTCTTCCCTCTTGTCGGATTTGTTAAGGCGTCAAGCAGAGCAAGCGTAAGGGCGCGGATTTACCGGCAGGCATGAATCAACCCGTCCATTGCGGGTACAGCGTTCAAACAATAACAATAAATCCGGTGCACTGTCAAGAATTCATACCGAAAACCCGTAAATTTTAGTCCGCCTTTCGGTCGATTTTCTCGTGTCTATGATATTGCCACCTTCGAATTCCAATTATGTCAAGTATACCAAACTAAATATACGGTGGTTAGCCTTGTGAAAAACCACATAACCGGCGTAGGTGGTTCGAATATAACGTAAAATTCTGCACAGTAACCCTATGTACACTACTGTGCATTAACGATTTACATCTGTGTCATTCGGTCTTCTCCTTTCAAATATCGGCAGCCATAATCGACGCTTACCCCTCTGCTCCGATCTTCGTCGTGTGGTTGTATTTTTCGGTCCACGCGCATCGTTGCGCTGTGCTGTTGATCAATAAGCTGTTTCCATTAGACAGTAGTATGAGGATTTATTGTATATTTGAGAAGATCCTTTGCAGCGAAACCCAGCCAGACAACCACTACGCATCCTGGAAAGCGCTTTACTAAATGTGCGATATCTGTCTGGATGAGCCTAGCTGCAATGAATCTTCTCAAAAGCTGTTCCCAACTCATAGATTCCGAGACGTATGGTTCCATACAATGGGAGACACAAAGTGCGTATTTTTCATCGTCGCAATCCCAACTGTGCAGTTGCAGATGCATTATGACGTAGTGACTTCCACGTGTTTCTAAAAATCAGCACGTAAATTCCAAAATTATGCATTCGGGACGTTTGTCGAGTTTGACTGCTCTGACATGAGCCTTCGACATTTTGACAATTTACGTCTTTAGTCTACTTGTTTTTTAACGTGGTGAATATTGCCATCGATTCTTTTTGACCTATAAAGCTAGATATGAGGCATACTTAGGAGGGAAACAAATGATCGCTAAATTTATGTGAAGGCGAGTTTGTTTGAAATTCAGCCATTTAACTGTCTGTTCTGATTAGCTCTGAGAATGCTTCGAAGTCGCCATCAAACACATCATGCCAACGCGTCAGGCCATGATGCAGTCGCATCATGATTAGCGTTCTCGTTTTAGGATGCACTGGATGTGCTCTTCGCTACAGTCAGTTTCTGTGCACTGCAGTTGAATCCACTTTCAGTGCGTCCCATTTTCCGCCAGGCCTCGAAATCCAGTTGGAGTTCATTGGAGGTGCTGTGACGTATCACATCTGCTCTTCGGAGCCTTCGCATCTGTGTTGTTACATCCATCACCGAGTTAGTCTTCCTTACTGTAGCGCATCCCCAGATTGTGAATTAAAGGATGCTTCCTTTGCGGAAGTAGCTGTGAGTAAATCAAACATGCTTTGCACTGAGGTGAATAATCAGACGTAAACAGTCCATCATCATCATCATTATACACGTTAGCTAGAGGTGGGAAACACCTCAGCTATTGTGCCGCAATACATAAAGGAAAAGGAAAATAAATACAACAGTTGCATGCCAGCTAAGCTACCAGCAACGGATGGGCATCGCTCCGGTAACTTACCAGGCGGCTACTAGGCAACACGAAAAATTATTATGTAAAATTATATTACGCTACGAAATGAGATCATGGTTGGAGGGGGAGGCTAAAAGGGATGGGGAGGGACAAAGAAACTCACAGCAGGAACGCCACTGAGGTCGGCTCCTAGCCATGTCAGCAAGTGTATCTAGCCAAACGTGTTCATCGTCTTTTGGTCCCCAACCAGGGAGCCGTGACGCTCCAACCGAGGTCAGCTCAGAAGTATGGGCCTTCATTCCTCTCGACCAAGTCATCGCTTGGCCACCTCTCCTCTTCTTCCATCCACACTCCCGGCGCGAAAACAACGCACGTCGCGGAAGTCGGTGGGCTGGCATGTGCAACACGTGGCCGAACCATCGGAGTCTAGTGCGTAAAATGGCGATGCTGATCGGTTCAGTTCCTTTTCCTGTGCCGTAAACAACGCGTCGAACACGCCCGTTGCTCACGCGGTGTTCTCATCAGATGTGAACCAAACTGCGAAGGCACAGATGATCGAAGGTAACTAGCCTCTTTATGTCCGCTGCTCTAAGCGGCCAGGTTTCGCAACCGTACAGTAAAGTCGGACGTACCGCTGCATTGTACACTCTACCATTCAGAGCGAGAGTGATTTCGCGCAGCCGCCATAGGTGCCGAAGACTAGCAAAAGCACTTCGAGCTTCTGATATCCGGTTCGTGATCTCTTCTTCAATCCCAAGAGTGCTGATACAACCTCCAAGGTAGTTGAATTTTTGAACGGCTTCTAGCTAATCCCCATCAAGGGTCAGCGCAGGAGGCGATCCCTGCCATCCTTAGAGGAATACTTTGCACTTCGATGGCGCAAAGCAAAGCCCGAAGTGGCTGACAGCCAGTGTTAATCTGTCCAGCGCGGTTTGGCACGTCTGTGTACTGTCACAGATGAGGGCAATGTCGTCAGCATACTTCAAGTCAAGAAGTCGTTCATTTTGGAGTAGCTCAACACCTTTTAAGTCGTGTACTGTAAATGTAATCTCCATGAATTCGACAATAGCGAAGTTGAAAAGAAAGATGACAACGAGCATCCTTGTCTCACACCGCTAAAGATATTGAAGGGTGGCGACAGCTTACCGTAAGCCTTCACTCTGCACGTGCTTTGGTGGAACAAGATAGGAACAATAACGGAGTGACTCCAGTAAGTAGGGACAGTTTCCTGCTCCCACAGTTTCATTAGTAATTCATGTAAAACCGAATTTCTAGTGGGCTGGATGAAGATCATCTGGTTCCGCGGCTTTGTTCAACTTCAACGGTCTGACCTCACGTTTGACTTTTGAACGAAAGGGCGGCTCCCATGGGACAGCCCACTGGTCATCATTATACATGTCAGCTAGAGGTGGTGAAACACCTCCGCTATTGTACCGCCCACGGAGCAAAGCGATCACTGGTCGGTGAGGAATTGAATAATTCCGGCCGACTAAAATCAAAATGCTCAGCCCAACGCTTTAAACGTTTTGACAAATTGTAAATAGGCTATCCACTCTCGTCACAAATTGTTTCACTAACACCAGGTCTCTTGCTGTCGGTTTCCCGTATTAGACGGAATAACTTACAATGATTGCCAAGGGCAGCGGCCACTTCCATCTCTGACGCACGATGAGACCACCAAAATTCGCGGTCTCTCTTCAGGCTAACACGGAGTTTTGCCCGGAGCTCTTTGCGAGTTTCATTGTGTTCGCTTCCAGCCGGAATATGCCGGCGAGCATCGATAAGTTCCAGAGACTTCGAAGAGACCCAACGTTCATGTTGGCGATTAGACTTACCACATGAGGATTTGCCTGCTGCTAGTAAGGTCACGTGAACATGCGAACAGTGGCCATCAATTGTCTCCAGTGAGCGCTTACTCAACTCGCATGTCAGCGTAATTTGGTAGGCATTCAGAACAGTTGGCTTTGTCAGTTGGCTGGTGTCGACGCGCTCACAGCGTCGTCGTGGGCATCCGCCAAAACGCATCTGCACGTCAGCAGATACAAGTCCATGGTCGGTGTCCACACATATGCTCCAAATCGAGCGACAGTTCTGGATGCAGCCTCTCCAGCAGTAACTGATTGCCATGTGATCGATCTGCGTCCAAGACTGGTTCGTGGCTGGTGGGCGACAAGTCACCCTCTGGCTGGTGCTGCCTCGGAAGTTAGTGCTCGCAAGAAATAAGCGGATCTCTTCACACAAATGAAGTAACCGTTCACCGTTATCATTACGTGGGCCTACACCATGTTGATCGCCAG